GAGTAATTCGAAAAGGGATCGATGAAGGATTCTTCCCTCTAGGGTCTGTGTCTCAGGAAGTATGTGGATTTTTCTGCAGACAGGAAAGGAAAGATTTTCTGGCATGGAACAAGCGGTGGAACGTTGAGAGAGATTACGCCGAATTCCAGCAAGGGCCTAGAGAAAGTCGGGAGTCAAGAGCACACAAATGAAAGGGAGTTCTTGACGGCGGGTAGATGATGGCAGGCAAAGCTGCTTCGCTTGAAAAAGATCGAGGGGAGACGCTGTCCCGATCAACAAAGAGGAGGTCCGGCGAAGTCCTCGAGAAAGGGTATATGGGAAAAGAGAGTTCAGGCTTGTCAAGTCACTACTGGCTGTCAAGCAAGCCACGGTACCGTCAGAAACCCCTCGACCGGAGCCCGTCGAAACCAGGCCGGAACCAGATTCGCGCACAGCGGTGCGGCTCCAGCGCCGAGGCTGGCCCGGTTGGCGGAGCTGGACTCCTAGTCTGTGGGCTGGGACGCCACGCATCGAGATGTCTTGTTCTGCCACTCCCCGTTGCTCTGGTTGCCTACTTGGGCCGGAAGCGCCAAAGCATGCATGGGAAAACCCCCGGGGGCGATCTGAAGCACGGAAACTCAGTAGAGGGATGAATGTGGTGGCATAAGGCATTCGCATTGTCTCAGCATGATGAAAACCCAGTAAGCGACCTTGGCTGAGGCATCCTTCGAGTATATCTATCAATATCAGTGAATTTCGGAGAGAGAAGGGCAGACTGGTGGAGATGCGGTGGACCAGCGTTTTGGCAGGGTGGCAGACCACGAATGAGGTTTCAGGCTTCATATTGACTTTCAACAAAAGCATACCATCATTGAACAGGAATCCCAGTATCCAGGCGAGGTGGCACAAGACAAGACACAATGGAGAGGACCAGCGCCGGCGCGGAACGAACACGGCGATTAATGCTCATGGAGGAACGGGCAAAGGAGGGGCCAGGCTAGTTAAGCTTGACATGTCTTGATCTTCGGACCCGATGGGATGGCAGGCTTGGCGCGGCGCGGTTCAGGCTGCGCGCAATATGTCTCCGACGTGTTGGAGCTTAGGGCAAGCCACATGGCACTCAGGCCCGCATTCGGCAATATGGGCGTGACAGGGCTGAGGGGTGACGGACGCTGTCGAAGCAAGGCCACGACTTCGCTGACGAGAGTCCAGAGATGTACCACTTGGATTCAGACACGCGTGTGCGATGCAGGTGCGTAGGATGAAGATACAAGGCAGATTTCAGAATTGAGACCGGATGCTCCGTAAAAGAGGATGACATGTGATGTATTATGTTGCATATGCATGACCCAAAACGTGGGACATAACCGTCTGGTCCGCCAGACCTCTTGGTTAGCTCGAGCTTGAATCGACCGTTCGGGTTATTTATCGAGCTTCCGTGGCCTTGGCCGAGAGATACTCTCCTCAAGAGTGGTTTTTCGCGACAGAGGCGCAGTGTTGGTACGCTTCACCCTTTTCCCCGATTCACTCTAGTCGTGGTGAGGTGATCTGACAGAGGGCCGAGTCGAGCAACCAGCCGCGAGAACTGCTCATTCAGCCCCTCATTGCTGGGATTGCTCTCCACAACGGCCTTGAAAGACGCTTTGCCGTCGTTTCCAACACCCCCTGCCAAGAGGCTGGCCAGGTTTTCTTTGTGATTGTCTGGACGGTTTCCAGGCGCATGGTGAGCCTCAACATCCTGAGAGGAAGCATCGTCTCGCGCCTCTTTATCCCATCGTCGGTGCAATAGCCCTAGCGCAGATTGAACATCTGAGATCCCTGGCTTCCCGTCAACCCAATAGCCCTGCTTTAAGCCATGCTCGAGAAATCTCCCTACTGCCCGCAACTGGAAGGCGTGGGCCGACAGAACTAGGCAGGCACCACACAGTTCAGGACCAAGTGACCATCCGTTTTGCTGGTGGATGGTGAAAAGATTGTTGAAAAACGGCAAGAAGCTGCGGAGGGTGGATGAGTTCTTTTCGGGTTCGGAAAGAACACGAAACAAGACTCGGGCGATGTGTTCATTACACTGGTGAACGCGCCAGGGTCCACCGTCGCCCTGCTGGAGAAGGAACAAGATGTAGCGTCGAAGGTCCTTGAGGCTCTCTTGTTTGCTTATGAGGTCTTGTGAGATAGCAAGGGGCGTTTGGGGGATGGGCCATGTGCTGGTCTTCCTGTGTAGCAGCCAGCTCAGAAGCGACTTGTCGTCCCGAAAGGTGGACATGGGGATGGCGTTCTCGAAAGCCACCGAGCTCAAGACGCCGTCAGCGTCGGATCCATAGGGTCGCTTTTTATCCGGACGTCTTTTGTGCTTGGGGGCGCCTCTCAGAGCGGTGGCCATAACGTCAAGGTCCGTGACGGCCCAGCGTTGTCGCCAGGGGTCGTGGCCGGCGACTTTGGCAAAGTTGTCGCTCACGCGCTGGCGGTCGAACTCAAAGTTCTTGATGCGCTTCCAGGTGGCGTCAATGTGAGGAATCTCTCCCCATTTCTCCCGCTGAGCGGACCTTTCCGCATCGTCGTACGGTCGTGAGTATCCGCTGTCCCAGCCGTCGAGATCTAAGACCACCTCTGGCACCTCAAAGGGCTGCCACGAGGGTGGTATTTGTGGTTCTGCTGGCCTCTTCTTGGTGTGAACCCATGGCCGTGAGACCCGAGACTGCGTTGAAGTGTGAAAACAGGCACTCGAGGCGGTCCTGCTGACGACGCCTACGGTTACCGGCTGCCGCATAATTGAGAAGTGGTGTGAATTGATACCCATATAACCTTCGGTCGCTTTGCAGAGGCTATATCCACGGGCACGCGACGTGGTCAAAAATCGCCTGATTGTTGCCGCCTATTGAGGGGGCGCGTCGAGGCAACGGGATGCAAGACGAGGGCGCAGGGGTATTGGGGCAACGACATGGGGTGACCTGGTCGCACAGCCACGGGTGTTTCTTGCATGGCCCCGTCACCCGTATGGGTCCCGCGGGGGAGCGGCAGTGGGTCGATCTATTGTTCCGTCCTTCAGCCATTGATCCTCGAGTTACTAGCCACTTAACCATTCCTGAAGATTCTTGTCAGGGTTCAGTACGTAAACTAGGTATACGTTCAATAGAAACCTGGTATACAGCACTAGGTCAAAAGTCTGGCAACGGCAATAAGGATGGCCCAACAGTGACAGTAGGGTGATAAGATACACGTCCTTTGGTGGTGAGACTAGCCCCAAGCTGATAGGTCCCTTCTGTGACTCCTAATTGGGTTGTTCTTACTGCTGTTGCCAGACTTTTGACCTAGGTAGTGCTGTAGTGGCCTTATGGACAAGCACACCGAGGGACGTTCGCATGCGAGGCCCTTGACCATGGACTGGAAATGGGTAAAAAAAAGATTATCTCAATCATCAATTACGCTTGAAATTTCAAGGTGATTACTCTAGGGCACGTGTCTCTTGGATTGCCGGATGAACCTTGCCTTTCCCTGTCGATAAACATCTGATGCAGTGAGGCGTATTTTTGAGGCAAGCAGGAGCGAAAATAGAGCATGATCAGGTCTAGGTACGAATCACGATGTGGGGTTTGTCAAGCACATTCGACTCCATGTATGAATGAAGACTACAGGGAGAAGATATGAGAAGAAATATCGAGAACAGTGCATCGTATGCCTCAAGGGCTTGGAAGTGGAGTGAGCGGGGTAGAATGAACTCAAGCTCTGGCGGGGCGAGTACGCAATCCGCATCTCGACGATGAGAGATGGGCCCATGTACTCTTTGCTGGAGTACAAGTATGTCCCAATCGGTGCCCAGGTAATCAATCAAGGCGAGATGCCGCTTTACCAAGAAAGTACATCAGCAGTCATGATGAGGAATTTAAACAATAGACATTTCATTACCCTCATCAATCCAAGTCCATCCCATCTAACAACCGAAAAGCGAAGCCATAGTTATGGCAAAAGAAAATCAACATTCCGTTTTCACCGTCCTCTGTTTCTCTGTTCCTTAGGTGGTTCATGTCGAACCTCTGCTTATCCTTGTAAAGGGAAAAGTTGCCTCCAATCATAACACTAGAATCAGACCCTTGGATGGATCCGCGGGTTGTGCGCTAGTCGGCCTTCCGGAGAAACATCGGTCGAGTTCCCAGCCTGACACCCAAGAAAGTCCCACTCTCTCGTCACTTTGCATCACATCACAAGACCTCCGAAACCATACATCGCGACTCTTGCACAACATACATACGCTCAAACGACCGCCCCTTCCCAGCACAACACAATTTCAAAAATGCCTCCATCAAAGAAGAGAAAAACCAACACCGGTTCCGCTGCGGCGGAAGACACCAAACAGACCGCGGAACCTAAATCCGTCGCCCCAGAAGAAACCGAGACGATAGAGTCCACCGTCCCCACCACAACAACAGATGCCGTTCCTGCGCCTGCAGAACCGATAGAAGAATCCTCATCATCACAGCCCACAGCAGAAGATGCCGCAGCAAAGGCAAAGGAACGCATGGCCCGCTTCAAGGCCCTCAAGGCCCGCGCCAAGACCTCATCCGACCAAAATTTCAAAGAGGCGACACTCGAGTCGCAGCGCCTCGCGTCCGACCCGAGCCAGCTGACGGCCCTCCACCGTAAGCAGGCCATTGCGTCGCAGAAGCTTCTGAAGGCCGATGTTGAGGACGCCGGCGGCGACTTTGAGCGCAAACGCGCGTGGGACTGGACGATCGACGAGAGCGAGAAGTGGGACAAGCACGTCAGGAAGAAAGAGGCGCACCGCGACAACAACGCCTTCCAGGACTACACCGCCGAGAGCAACAAGGTCTACAAGCGCCAGCTCAAGAATATCGCCCCCGATATGGACAAATACGAAAAGGACAAGATGGCCGCCATTGAGCGCGCAGCCGCCTCGGGCGGCCTCGACATCGTCGAGACGGAGGACGGAGAACTCATTGCGGTGGACAAGGATGGCTCCTTCTACTCGACGGCCGACTCCACCACGTTTGCCCAAAACAAGCCGGACAAGGCCGCTGTCGACCGGCTCGTGGAAGACCTGAGGAGGGCCGAGGAGAACAGGCTGAAGAAGAGGAAGGACCGCATGGCGCAGAACGGCGACGACGGTGACGTCACGTACATCAACGAGAAGAACAAGCAGTTCAACCAGAAGCTGGCGCGCTTCTACAACAAGTACACTGCAGAGATTCGGGACAGTTTCGAGAGAGGAACCATGATTTAAGCGCGGGCGTATGGGGGCGGGGGAGGGATACTATGAGACTGGTAAAGCCGGGAGGATATCAAGCCTGTGAGGGGCCTTTTTTTCTTCTTCCCCGCTTGTTTGCACTGGGCAATCATACAATCTATGACACAATTACAACTACAAATACACTATCATGCATCACAGCATGGTTTTCCTCCAACCCTTGTTCGCCAGCTCCTCGAGCTCGGGCACCTCAACCGGGCCCTGAACCTTCTCGTCGTCGAGCGCTTCCACTACTGCTTCCGCGACGGTCTCGACCGGCAGGGGTTTCACCCCGCTCGCGCCCATGAACCCGCTCAGCACGCCCCCGGTCAGCCTGTTGAAGAGGGCGCCGGCGCCGGTCATGGCCGCCAGCGGCAGCGTGAACTTTCTTGAACTGTCGTACAGGAAGGGCGGCCGCGGGAAGATGCCCCGCATGCGCGGGAACTCGCTGGCGATGGTGCTCTCGGCCTCGCGCTTCGTGGTGATGTACCGCGCGGGGAGGACGGGGGCGCCGGCGGCGGCCGAGATGTAGACGAAGGCCTTTACGTCCTCGGCGTTGGCTTGCTTGGCCAGGGCGATGGCGCTGTCGCGGTTCATAACTTCGTAGGAGAACTGGTCATTGGGGTTGGGTGTCTTGAGATCGCCGCCCTCGGACGAGGTTTTGAGGGGGTCGACGCCGCGGTCCTTGACGGGGGCGAAGGCCTTTTGCAGGCCCGAGATGGGGGACTCCTGGCCGGAGATGACGCCCTTGTAATCAGCCTCGAGAAGGATCCCCATGCTGTGGACGACAAAGTCGGCGCCCTTGAGAAGCGGGGCGTAGGTCCCGGGGCTGAGCATGTCGGCGCGCTCCCAGGAGACTTGGTGTGCCCATTGGGGAGGGGCCGGCGATGAGGTCACGGCGGACCATTTGGGCTCCCCCGAGCGGCTGTCGGGGCATGTTAGACGAGGCGGGGAGAGCATTAGGGAGAGGCGCGAGAGGGCCTCGTTATGGCGTACCTGATGGAAGTGACATTCCAGCCTCTTGCGACGGCATACTTGCAGATTCTTGACCCGAGGAAGCCGTTTCCTCCGCACACGACCAGCTTCTTGGTGACGGCCGAGGTTGACATGGTGGGTGAAGTGAGATGAGTGGCCGTGCGACCGATTGAGTGAAAACGAGAAGCCTTGCTGTAGGAACCAATGTGAATGAAGTGAATGAGAAGCCGGGTCGACGTTAGTAGGGAGACGGCGTCCGGGCTCGGCGTTGGTTAGTCTAGGTAGTTACCAGTGTCTTCCCGATGGTGGTTCGATGCCGGTTCCGGGCGCGGGTGCAAAGCTGCTGAAAAGTCATGAAATCATCACCCGGCCGAGAGCTCCCCAGCTCCCCAGTGGAAAACCTGCCAGGGGTACTGATGCTGCAGCTACTTAGTGTGTAGAGGTTACAGCTACAGGGGTTGGAGCAACTGGCATTGAAGCTTCCCATTGGTGAGATCTGGTGGGCCCCCCTTCTATCGTCCTGTGCCTGAACCTCCCAGCGTATCCGTACGGCTTCTGTCATCGACACCATCCGCCTGCATTCTTGCTGATCCCTTATCGTCGAAGTACGATGCATTTCACGATTTGAAATCAGGGGCAGTACATAAGTAAAAGTTCGCTTGCCCCGTCGCCTGCTGACTACGTATCTACTAGCATGCTGGGTACATACCTAGGTAGATCTTAACGAATCGAAGCTACCGCTTAGTGCTGATGGTGAAGCAATCGCGCATGTGGTGCTTCTTGCTGTGTCCTGCCTACCTACTGGTAGTCTGTACTTTGATGCCAAGTTACACGACGGCCATGGGCCAGGCTCAGAAAAAGGCTGGTTCTCAGGCTCGAGCTGGGCCCCACTATAAATCCGCCGTAAGGCTGACAACGTCGGCTGCAGGAACCATTTAATTCTTGCCATCAGTGCTGGCAAACCATTTTCTCCTCACTACATCTTCAACAACGCACTTACACTGTGCATGGCTTCTTTGGAACAGACTACACCACATCACCCAGACTCACTGTTCTATCCGCATCGACATGGCGCCGCCCAGCAGCCTCGGCAAGCGCGTGAAGGGCACCCAAATCAGGCGCCCGTTTATCTACGGCACGACCGCTCGCCCCTTCGATCCCGAAACCAACCCTAAGCCAGAGGGCGTTCCCGACGACCACACCCACTCGTGGGAGGTGTTTGTAAAGGCCATCGATGACACCGACATCACGTACTGGCTGCGGAGGGTTCAGTTCAAGCTCCACGAGTCTATTCCTAACCACGTGCGCAGTATGTCATCCTTCGTGCTAGCAATCGCCATGATGATGTCCATGCTAACCCCTATTAGTGATTGATGGCGAGCCTGGAAAGCCCTTCCTAGTCCAAGAAACTGGATGGGGAGAGTTTGAAATCACCATCAAGTTGTACTATGCCTCCGAGTCTGGAGAGAAGCCCCAGACTTTATACCACAACCTTCGCCTACACCCGTACGGTAGGACCGATGCCGAGAAGGAGCAGATGCTACGCCAGAACGACGGCGAGATACGTGCTTGGGCATTCGACGAACAGCTTTTCAACGAACCGTACGAAGCCTTTTACGAAATCCTCACATCTGGCGCCCACCCCAAAGGCCACCCTCTCGGCAAAGGTGGCAAGGGTAAAAACAAGCCGATCCCGTCCCTGCCAGAGAAGACGTCGAATGTGCAGGTGGCCTGGGAGCGAAGCGCCTTGCTACCCGCAGTGAACAAGCCGGGCCAGCCCTTCAGTCTAGAAACAGAGCAGATCGAAGTCAAGAAGCTCAAGGAGGCCGAAGCTAAAGTGAAAGAGATGGCCAAGCAGCAGCTGGAGACGTTGAAGGAGAAGGAGGCTCAGCTTGCCGCCCTGAAAGCCGAGAACGCTGCTGCTGCAACGGCCGGTTAGAAGCCGCCGAACCCAGCATGTAGACGACCATCTCGCAAGGCGGTGACCACTGCTAGTCAGCCAGTCACACTGACAAAAAACGAAGCGAAACGGCAGCGTGTTAAAGCAGAACTGGAGACTATCTGCCGGAGAAGCTAGTGGCCAGAGCATAAGTGCTCCGTATTCTGAGACGCTGTTGCTGCTGGCGATGAAGGCTCACTCGTCATCGCCCGCATTCCGTCAAATGGTATGCCATCGTCACTATTAGCTTGACCTTCAATGTGAAGGCGGCGACGATCTCATAGCGAATACTAATAACGAAAACGCTAGACTCCTAGGCTGCGAAAGCCCACGCGGCGGAACCTCGACAAACGGAGCTCCTGGCTGACCTACTCGTGAGCCCGAGCACGACATGGACACTGACATGACAGATGCAAGTCCTTTGATAGAACAGCAGGAGGCCTTGGACGCCGGTCTGCTGAATTGTTTTTCTAGGTGCTTGATGGACGGCGCCTGTTATCGAGTCCCAGCAAAAGAAAGGAGGAATCAAGATGGTGTGTGGGTAGATGGACGGTTTCATGAGCTAGTTGAGGAGGTCACCTGCGACACGGCGGTCGAGCCAGAACTTGCGGTTGCCATGTTTGCTGTAGGTTCGGTGTCCGCAAGTCGAGGAAACCAGCACGGCCGCCAAGGACCATGAGTCCGCCAAGACCGACGGCTCCGGGGGCAGCGAGGCAGTAACTTCTTGACTACCTTCTTTATAACTAGTAAAAGGCTTTAAATAAAGTAAGTAATGCATGCCCCGTCTGTTTCTCGCCCCTTAGAGCGTCACAGAGGTTTCCGGAACGTGCTCGTTACGCGCGACGGAGCCAAGCTCCCTGACTTAAATATGTGGACGAAACGGAAACTCACACCCAGGATAGGGAGACAGGCGAAACAAATAGGTGGGCTGCTTCGGGGTATAGGTAGTATAGTTGGTTGCGATCAATGCAGTGGCGGGGATTTGTAGCTCTTGCATCATTCTTTTTCTGCAGCTCAAACACCACAAAGTGCTAACCTGTCACCTCCCTTGGTCGTCGCGAAGTTTGGAGCGGGGCCGTCGTATAGTTGTGAGCCACAGCCATGGCTGGGGGAGGTGGTCTTTTTCCGCTCATCTCCATACCTAGCCAGACCAGGGACCATTGTTCACGTGCGCGTTCATGTGGTCTCTATGTGTATAGTCAACCTCCTCAACGACTTCGTCCTCAGAAAAGGTCATTACAGACCAGCCACAGTTGCCCAGACCTGTCCTCACCTATCGTTGTTTGTGATTATTGCTTGTTCCTTTGTTTGGCCGTTTCGTTACGTCGCGTTGCTTGCCTTCCTTCACTCTATCACTGCGCCTCTTTGCATCGCTGCTGTGCTTTTTCTTTTTTCTTCTTTGCTCAGTAGCTCCCACCGCCCATTTGCCTTGTAAGACTTGGAACAATTGCTAGGAGGACTGTGTGACCAATACTCGACTAGAAGGGTTTCCAGATAGAAACACAGGACGATGATATCTCGTAATCAAACCTCTGGCGCGTCGCCGTTCTGGTGGCCGCGGTAAAACAACCCATCCGCGCACACAACCCTGCCCCATCCATGGTGCTGATGGCGTTTTTGGGGAAATCCCCTCCATCACCGTGACGGACGGGGCAGGTGTGACGACTGCATGGACGCGGCCGCTGGTGTCAGCTTACTATCGTCCCGAACCCCCAAGGGTTATACACGAAGCACAGGTGGATAGATAGTATGAATAGAAGATGGGAGTGTTTGTATTTTTCCAACAGGGTTTACTGCCATGGACCTCGGTCTCCGAGTCAGGCCTGATACGCAAAAAACGAAGAATGAAACGTAGTGATGGTATCCACGATATTTCCATCTTCCACCACCGTCTTCCTCCTCTTGTAGAAATCCATCCAGTGTCAAAAGACGAAACCCCTTCCTTTTCCATTGTACTGTACACACCAGCTATACCCTTCCGGAATCCCACCCATCTGGGGCTTTCATCCGGTGAGGATGTTTCTGCAGTGGACGATCTAGAAAAAGAAAATCAAGGACAAAAGAAATAAGTGGCTTGGTTGTGTTCAAGGACGTGTGCGCGTGCGCTTCGGCAGGCGGGCCCTTGATGTTAAAAAAAAAGAAGAAAAAGCAGCGCTGATAACTTTTGTATGGTTGTGTTGCGGAAACGACCCGTTCTCAACGTGTCATGAGCTGAGGCCGTTTCTCTCCAAATCATCAGTCGCATGACCAGTTTGCTTGGTTGGTAGGCCTCCCGTTCTTGGTGATCCCAACCCGAAGAATCCAAAAAGTTCAGAGAAGAGGCCGTGATTCTCCGATTCGATCCCATTCTTTTTTATGATGCCGATGACCCCTCAACCCTAATCACCCTCTCTGGGTTTCCTGTTCGAACGCCATGCGGTATCTAAACATTAACAATAACAAAAGAAGGCGGGAAACAAAGTGTATGGTCTCTTCGACCGACCCATTCCCCACACTAAAAACATTCAAACGATGAAAAGAGGTTCTCCATAACGCCATGCGAGGAGGAAGTGATGGAACAGAAGGAAAGGAGATGTAGTCCAGCAAAGTGGATATGTGATGTTTTTGTACACTTTGTACGGCAAAACATCTGCCCGAATGAGCAAATATTTTATGCGGATGCCTCATAGGCCGGAGGCGGGATGTCTTCCCGCTCGTCCCAAAGGTCTGGATGGCGGCTCTTCTCGTCGTAGACGCGACGGGCAATCTCGCCAGCCATCTTCATGATCCAAGCCTGTTCGTAAACAGTCGAGGTCTCGGAAGAGTCACCGTTAGGCCGCTTCTCCGCGTTGGCTTTCTCACTAGGAAAAGCTCCCGCCTTCTCGGCTGTCTGAGATTGAGGCTGAGCGGCGGCCTCGGCTTCCCGGGCGCTGTCCAGCTTGATGCGCATGCTCGGGACATCCTTGGGCGGGGTATAGAAGTTCGGCTGCAAGGGGGGTCTGGAAGGGAAACGGGTCTTCTCCATGGGGCCGAAGCGGACCTTACTAGGGGTTGACTCGGCCAAGTTCGCAAGGGCCTCTTCCTCCTCGGGGTCCTCGGCAATAGAGCTAGCCATGAGGGGCTCGGTGGAAGGGCCGGCGACAGAAGCAGTTTCGGACGCCATCTCTGACTGAGTCTCGCTGCCTTCCGGAGTCTCGCCGACCTCGCTCTTAGACCGTCGGAGGTTGACCACTCTCGTCTTCTTCTTCCGACCAGCATACGACTTGGACCTGATACCGGCACCCAGTGACAATCCGGTGGTGGCCGAGTTGAGACTCACCATCGAAGGTCGAGACGGGAGGTGGCCATGAGAGGCGCTGCCAGTGTCGGAGAAGGTGTATGTGGTGGAAGTTCCTTGGAAGGAGTTGGTCTTGGACAAGCTGGGCGTCGCAGTCGGCGGCGTGCTAGTAGGCTCGGACACTGCAGGTCCGGTCCAGGCTCGGAACACGACATCGCGGATGCCTGGGGTGAAGAGGGAGAAGGTCCGGTGGGAGTCGTTCAGAGCAGCAAGTCTTAGCAGGTTCTTCTGGGAGAAGAGCGACTGAACCTCCGGCCCACCCTCAAGCGACAGCGACGAAACTTCGTTGGCGTCGAGAAGGTTGCCGTTGGCATCAACGGGATCCAACGGTGGGCTCGCCAAGGGGTCGACCTCGGTTTCCTCGGCGTCCTCCTTAGGCGCCTCATCCTCCTTCGGCAGCGAATCGGGACACCACAAGCGCAGCGACAGGCGGTGGATAATGGCGGGGAGTTCATCCATCATCAGATTCCTCAGCTGGGCCTCAATAGTGCGCTGGAGATAATCGCGCACGAACTGGATCGAATCAAAGGTCGAGGAGACCTTGAGCGATTCGAGTGGGTCATTCCGGAAGACCAGGGTCAGCCCCTTTTGCCTGGAGAAGACTAGGATGATAAAGGCCGAAAGCTTGATCTCGGAGAGTGTTATTGACAGCGGAATGGTGAGACCTGATGCCGCCGCCAATGGTTGGGGTGATGTGAACCCCGGCTTAGAAGACAGGTAGGTGTTCAGAGGATTTGCCTGTTTGTTGATATATTAGCACTGCTATGACGCACGTCCTTTCCGCGAAGGCCGGAGGTAACCAGGAACGCGAATCCCGGCCAGGCAATTTCATCTTCAATGCGGAGGTGCATGTAGGGGGGGGGGGGGGGGGGGGGGGATGTTTGCCGAGGGAAAAACAAAGGCCGGGATATATGGCCTAAAATTTGTGGAAGGCATCTGCGAGGTGGAAATGATGTTTGGGATTGGCGAATTGACGATGTCTTTGCGGAAGCATCACTTGGTGCTGTCTCGGCTTCGGGGATGGAGGGGATCCGGACATTCCAGGCACTGGCATGGAGCTGGGATTACGGAACAGGAAGACTTTCCCACTGGAACGAGAGCAAGGACGCGGTCGTGTATGGGGACGGGGTGTGAGAGATGGTAAGCTCAATGCCACGGCTGCGAAACCGAGCTTTGCCTCCGAGAGCCTGCGTGGCAGAGGGACGGTTGCTTGGGGAAGGGAAAAAAACCACCGGGCATACCTGAACTCTGGTTTTCAGCGTCAAGAAGGCGTCACCGGAGTAGCACATCTTGAAGATGCCACGAAAGCGGTCCTCGGCAATGTCGCCAATCTCTAGGATCTCCAGCTCCGGGGGCACGGAGCCCAAGTTGAACTCGGTAACGAGGATGTCATCGACAATAATCGGGGGCTTCGGCGACTTGTTCAGGGCGGTTGTGAGCATCTCTCGGGCGCGCTGGTAGAACTCAGCATCGGCTGTGAGCGGTGACCAATTGAAGTTGAAGGCCATGTTGAAATGGCTTTAACTGCGGCCAACCATCGAAGGGTGAGGTGTTGGAGGCCGGAGGGGCCGAGTCGACTGTAGGGAGAGGTTCGATTGGGATATCTTTTCTTGGCTTCGCAGTCGATGACGGAAGATCAGCGATGGTATCTGGTTCGGAGGGATGGGGTAGTAGCAGGACGGACTCGTTGGGGAGCAGAAGCAATTAGATGATAGGAAGTCCGGGGAAGGAGCTGTAGATGATCTGGGTGAGGAGAAGGAGTGAAAGGTTCAAGGCGGGTTGATGTTGTAAAGGTAGATGGATGCAGCGGGTGTGTGGTAGCAAGCTGGGCTGGAGGGCGTGTGTGCGTTTTCGGGCGGATGACGCTGGTCGGGTGCTATTACGACGGCGCTATGGGCTGTGGCTCGCTCTTCGGGAAGCAAAGGGAATATTCGGAGTTTAGGATGGTACGGTGCTGTGCGGCCTTGGCGCGAAATTTTTCCTTGCTGCAAAATTTCTGACACTATAAGGATATTTCTGGGTGACTCCTTGCTGGGGGGTGGGGCTTCACTCCCGAGTGTCGCGTGCAGTAGGAGCTGAGAGGGCGACCGAGTGAAGTGATAAGGAAGGAGCGCGTCCCAGCTTTGGGCGGTTGGCATGCTTTCAGTGGCACACCAGCGCTGTAACGGCTTGCAGCGTGACAGGCGCCCCCCTAAGCCACGGTTCAACGAAAAGGAGCGAGGGAAAGGGAGGGACCGGATGGGGCGGTCCCACTATTTCCAAAGGAGGCTGCAACCTCACCCTGCTTTTCACACCGTTTCTTGACAGTCGGTCACACAACCCGACACAATAATAACAACAGCCCTCCAACGAGTTCATGAGCTATGCGCCGGAAGCCCCTAGCGCCGCTGCTGGGCCGGGTTGATCCATTCCATGACCGGAGAGGGGGGGGGGGGGGGGGGGGGGTGTTTTGCTTGTGAAAGTTACAGGTGAAGGCAGATTGGCCTTCAATGCGAATCACCCGAGGTCTGCCATCGGCCATTCAAGGCAAGGCACCATCTGCCATCTGAAGCCCCAAGGTATCACCAGATCATCCTCACGCAGATGCCCGACGATGAGCCGAAAGATGCGCCTGCCAAATCTCACAACCCCGAAAAGACGGTGGCCGATTTAAAGTTGGCACCTGTCGTGTCCACAACCGCGCGAACCATCCGGCAGGGGATCGAGGGTGGTTGCAAACAACCTCTAGCGAGATCTGGGCCGTTCACTTTCAGCCCTTTGGAGTGCTGCCATTTGGCCCGCGCTCCGCCAGTGAGGTACCATCGCATCACACGGGATCGTTGATTGCTGTTGGCGGCCGATCACGAGGGACTGGTGGACTGTCAGCGAAAGATGGGACGACGTCGACAGACATGTGGTCCGACATCAGAACATAATTAAGCAAGTGACCATTAGCCAATCTGGGATTTGACGAAATACCAAGGCTTCGCGAATGCATGGAGAACAATCCCCATCTACTTGGGGCGGGTACGTTTGCATGAAGGCTCAATCTGGCAACCAAACTGGCACGGCCTTGTCCGATGCTCTTGGAGCGAGCCATCCGTCATATCATCATCCACTGCGGTCCATCTTCGTTGTAGGGCAGGGGGAGGGGATCTATGGCCATCAAATCACGGCGCTGCAACGGCTATCGGATTCAGCAGCATGTCCGCTTTCCCGGCCGCTGCCCCCGTCCAAGCCTGATCCGTTGCCATGTCCGATACTGACTGTCAGATGTGATCTGCCCAGAGCCGCCGTCAATGCCGGTTCTTTCCCTTTTGCTGCCCGTCTCGCGTCCAATACCTTCATCCCCTCCCCTTCTCCCCACATAATTTTCCTGCTCCAGTCCCTTGGCCCTCTTCTCTCCGCAATGCCCCGCGCAATGGAGGAAGGGGGCCAACGAGCGACCAAAGTCAGGAGAAGACAACGAAATGCGCTAATGTGTAGGCTCTTTGACAAGCGTTGGGGCAGCCACAGCGAAGAAATCCCATCCACTCGCGTGCTGCACATGTCGATGTGTTCGGCCCTCCTCCGGCTCAATCCGGCCGACGAACCGCCCGTCGTCCGCAATGCAACAATCCCAAGAGCCCGCCCTCTTTTTTCCTTCTTTTTTCTTTTCTTTGCATGGTATTTCATGATTCACGCCGAGCCTGTGGGGCCTCGACGCGTGCCGTAGCAAATCATCGGATGAGATTCCTGACCAAAGTCTGGGTCGCCCTGAGGATCCCTGAGTCCCCTCTGCAGACTGCAACCGAACATTGGGAGACAAAACCAACCTCTCGCGAGACTGTGGGGTAAGACCTGGGTAACACGGCTCGAGGCGTTGCCGCAACCTCGTCCTGTCCAACGGCTCGTAAAAGCCCAAAGACGTGACAAAGGAGCCGTGACAGAAGCGTCTTGTTGCGGGTGCGGGAAGACACAAGAGTCATTGGCCACCTCATCAGTGCCCTCTGCTGAACCAAGGAACTTGCCTGTCTGCCGCCGTCACCTTTCCTCAGGGTACCAATGGTGTTGACGGAAGCGTCTCCCAGCTTACCCAGCGCGCCAACACCAACTTTTTCGCTCCACACCCGAAGGGGAAAGTCTGTCGTCATCCCGGGATACCGCTGACTTCGAAAAGAACAACAAAAACTTAAAAAAGCGAGAGAGAGGGGGGATAGGGCAGAGAGTGAGGACCGCTCCGTTGCAACAGCGCAACAGCCATCAAATGGAGTCTTGGTACCATCGCTCAAATCCTGCATACCCCCGAAACCCACAGGGCAAGGCAACCAACGCTGCGCTACGCACCTTTTGACACGCAGTGCTCGACTTTGCTATATGCAGGTGGAAGCCACGGATTACCTTGGCTACGTACTTGTCTACGTTTCTGTGAGGCGCACAACCCTTCTTGCTTTCTTGGCTCCGCAGACAGAGTCCAATTCCCGATCCGGCAGGGCAGGAAGCAGCTGGGATAGGAGAAGGTGCTCACGAGACACCAGCCTGGGGGGAAGAAAGTGCGCGTGCGGCATCTCTTGGTGCCCTCGGTTGGATTGGAGTAAGCCATCATTTCAGCTGAGAAGGGTCCCTGAGCTACATCTCGTCGGCCGCTCTTCCAACTAAGCTTGCTACTCACCATGGGCATATATCCCGCCTTTGTCAAACCATCATCTATCACCACGGTCACCTCTCCAACCAAAGTCATAACGGTTGCCCTATCCTCTTCGTTCCATCGAGGAACATTCGACTTATATTTGCCTAGCCTACACATTTTTGGGCGGAACCCTTCGATCGGCACGACATCGCCATCGCATATGGGGGGGTTCATCGCTCGTTCCTCGACATGGCCAACCTTTTGACTATTCCTACTGACCTGACTGCCCGCCTGTCCTCGGCAGAGCTGCCGACTGCCAAAGATGTACCCCTGGTACACAGCCCTTCGGGCAAGGTGTTCTCGATACAGGTGATGGTAACCGATCAGGTCCACATTAGGCCTTGGACGCACGCTATATATGTCGGCGAGGGTGCCGCCAACGTCTTGTTCATCGCGTTCCTCTACACAAAGTCTGAACGACAGCATGAGAGCGACAGAACCGAGGCCGACCTGTTAACCAGTTAGTTCATGTTTCCCCGCCCAGAAATGGCGACCCAGCTTTGCTAACAAAGCATGTCTCAGAGTTTCTACTGAGGGTGCCAAAGGCAAATAAAGACCCCGCCAAGCCCTTCTACTACCCAGGAGAGCAGTACCAATATTTTTGGGAAACAATCGCTCCTCTATTTAGCTACCGTGCGGATATGTTGGCGGAAGTGACGTGGGCTAAGATACACTCTGAAGCCATCTGGCACTTGCACAGAGTGCTGAAAACCTTGGAAACGGGACCACCCGGGTCGAGATTGCGGCCAGCCAAATTTCAAGGCGACAAGATTGCTGGGTGGGATTTGGTCCTCATGATCGAGAGCATGCGCGCGAGAAGCGATGACGAGCGCGTCGTCGAGTTCAAGCCAAAGTGGCTGGCCCAGTCGCCGTCGGCCCCGAAAGACGCCAACACGTGCAGATGCTGCGCACTTGCGGCCAAAAAGTTTTCCGGCGGCAAAGACCGAGGCCTGAACCCGCGGGATTACCCCTGCCCCCTGTGGCTGGATCCCGAGCGAGAGACGCCCGGTGGGAAAGAAGGAGTACGGCAGAAGGCCCTCCGACGCTTGTTCCAGAACGGCAGCCTCGGAGACAACAAGCACGCCTCCACCCTCTACGAGCTCCTGAAAAAGAACTCTATTCTCACGCTCTTGAAGAAACACCAGTTGGAGAAGGATTCTCGCGGGCCACTGCTGGCAAGCAAGAACGATAACGAGTTCTGCACGGCAATGACGCTGCGCGACTGCTCCCTCTTCATGCGATACAGGGTCAAGGACGTCAGCGGCCAGGAGACCGTCGTGGCGGAGTCCTTCGAGGCAAAACTTGCCGATCTCGACAAAAAGAATGCGGATTGGAAGATTAATGAATGGCGGGATAAGGAGCAGGCCTTGATCGACGAAGGGTGGTACACGGGTCGCGGTGGCATGAAGAACTGCGCCCTCCAGGCATGAGCGCGATAGAAGCCGTCGCATCTGTACAACAGTGTATACCGATTGTGTATTAAAGCGTAATATAATTCGACAGCGACTAATCATGAAAAGCGCCAAAGTATCGGTGACAGGTCATGAGCGCGTAGGTCTGCCCAGGGCTGTGAGTGTCGTCATCCCATTCTACTCTCCCTTGCCCGTCGTCCCACCGTATTTCCCTCCCTCTGGTACTTGAAGGGCCGGCAGAGATAGCAAAGAGGCCAACGAGGCCAGCAAGGACGAAAGAAGGAAGGAATCATAGAGCGGATGGATAATAACCTCCAAGCCGCGGCGTCTGTATCGGCAGCGTGCCAAGCAAAACTTGGCAAGATTGTACGTGATAAAGCGGTCTATTCCAACTTTCATGACTATCATCAGGGTTATCGCCATGCTCCGTGCCTCGAAACCCCGCCCAAGCCAATGCAATGTGGGCGGCCTATTCATATACGCCCGTAACGCCGTTTCCAATGCGTGAATCTATCTAAATGCCGCCGACCGTGAAGCTCAAAAGACTCCCCGTCGTCAGCCCGGCGACGAGGCATAGGCCCATGAACCCGCCCGTCACCTCGCGTTCGCCCTCCTCGACCCACTCGCCGGCCGCCATCATGCAGCTCGAGCCCAGCCAGCCATTGGTCAGGCCGAAGAGAAACTGGACGACAACGAGGTAGAAGAAGTCGCTGTTGACGGCGGCGCCGCGGCCACCGATGTTGCAGAGCAGGTACATGGGCAGGAAGCCCATGCGCGCAAGACTGACGGCGAAGAGTGCCGCGGGCCGGTGGCGTAGGGAGAAGGGTAGGATGGTGGCCATGCGACCCGAAAGGTCTCCCAGGTTCCAGACGAAGAAGGCGAGCGGGATGAAGGCCGCGGGGCGGAAGAGGGACCCGGCGGGGGCCTTCTCGTCACCGGGGTAGTGCACCGAGAGGATCTTGGTGGTGAAGACAGGGAAGAACATGGCGACGGCGAAGCACAGGAAGATGGCGCCCGCGAGCCAGTGCAGCTTCTTTAGGAGGCGGAGCGGGGAGACGACCTTGCGGGCGGCGCGCTCGGCCTCTTCGACCGAGGTCAGAGACTCGGCCATGTGCTCGACCATGCGATTCTCGACGATGCAGTTGTGGCGTCGAACGAGCGGGACAAAGGCCACGAGGGCCGAGACGGACACAGCGACAGCGGCGAGGAAGTAGACAAACGCCGAGGAGCTCAGTGACCTGGCGTCGTCCTCCGCGCCGGCGGCTTTCTCCGGGACGGTGAGGACGGTGACAACCTGCGCGATCGGTGGCAGCACCCCCGCAACGCCCTGGCCGGCCATGAGGGCCTGCATGTACTCTGGGCGGCCGAATGAGGCGGCGAAGGCGAAGGCGCCGTTCTGGATGAGACCGGTGGCCCAGGAGCTCGAAGCGACCATGAGGAGGATGAATGCGAGGTAGGTAGACGGGGAGGCGTCGAGGGCGAGGGAGGTGGAGGCCGTCAAGAGGGAGAAGATGATACAGTTGAGCAGGAGGGCGAGGTTAATGCGGAAAGGGTACGAGGCCGCGTACTGTATGTTTGTGAGGACCAGCATGGCCGTGAGGTTGGTCAGCGTCGAGACGGTAAGGATGGCCGACTGGAAGTTTTGCGAGATCCAGGCGTCGGACTGGAAGCGGACGTGGAAATAGGGGGCTGCGGCTAGGAACATGTTCCTGGAGACATAGACTGTTAGTCGCACGCGCACCTAGAAAGAAGGCGGGGACCAAGCGACGAGAGAAAACATGCCAACGTACCACGCCCATAGCATCGCCATTCCTAGCCAGGCGAACATGATGTACTCGGACCAGGAGAAGGGCACCTCCTCCTGGCCTTCCATCGGGGTGGAGCCGTCGAGCTCGCGGCCCTCCTCCGCCAGGGGCTCATATTCCTGGCGGTCCGGCTTGTGGTGCTTCCCCAGCAATTCCCTGATGCGCTCCATCTCGGGCTATGTCGTTTCCCTTTCGAGACGTCGGTATAAGTGTGGAGATAGTGGTGCAGCTCAACAGAAGAGAGAGAACCGCCGTCGTGCAGTTATTCGGGAGTCCGGGTGGTGCTTCGGTGATGGTGTTGCACTCGATCGCGGCGAGACTCGCTATAGAAGGAAAGCACTGATGTGCCGTCGAATAAAGCTAGTCCTCGCCACCGGCCGCCCGAGGTTTGGAGTGCCCACTGCGTCGTCGGTGAACCTTGTCGATGTCTTCCCCTCCCCGATTCACTGCTCGCGCATGCGGCGGCTCCGTGGACCAGTTAAAGCAGCTACAGCAAAGGTCGAAACGCTCCACTCCCCGATGTTACAAGGGTATCCGTCTCGCGAGGAACCACGTATACGATGAGAGCCGGGTGCGTTGATCGAAGAATGGAAACGAGAGAGACAAGCAATCATGTGCGCCGTTCACCAGATTGCTGTCATCCAGTGAGATGGGGGGGGACAAGTCGATGACCACGCGCCGCGCGTATATCAGATCCGGGGCTGGTTTGGGGCGGACGACGGGGGTGGGCGCGGGGCGTGGGGGGCCGTGCACCGATCGATTACCTCAGCTGGTCACACTGCGCTGCCATTGACCGTGCGCTAAGAACCTGTCACGCTGCGCCTGTGGTGGGAAATCGAACAAGCTTATTCCTGAGCGACTGACATCCGCCTATCCTAACCACGAATGCTGCCTGAACGCCATGCATTTAAGCCACCTTACAACCGGAGGCTTGTGCATCTCGCTATCATTCGGGATGAATTTTTAATCTAGGATTCAGGAATGCTCTGTTCTAAACCCCAACTGAAGGTTCGCATAAGTCTTGAATGCTTGAACGCCACCATCAGGACCCTCGACAAGTGGCACGGCAGACGAATACATGTTATTCGTGTTGTTCCGAGGCTAACTTGAGAGGTGATTCGGAGCCGGCTTGGACAACCTTATCTCGGTGCCTGGTCGTCGCTCTGAACTGCCCCCCCTGTTCTGTGACATACAAAGTCATTTCTTGTGAGAGCTGATACGGATGTGGTACAAGTGGTAGGTCTGATTGACCGCAAAGCTTGCTGCCAAGTTCATTTTTCAACATGAAATTCATAATCGCTGCCATCTCTAAGGCTATCTTGGAGATGGTTTATCGTGCCTGAAGCCTGACTGCTGATAAGAGGGATGTCCTACCTCATCCCATTTCGATTGTAACGTGGGATTTCACCTTAAAGACGAGGTTTCAATGGGCTTGATATCATATTGCACAAGAGTGCGACTCTCAACTTGACTAAAACCATCAAGAATAACACGATATGGCAGGCTCCCTTTTGTCGCATCATGCGACGGTTTTCACCTTGGCTGTACGACAGATATGGCAGAACTTCACACCATTATACAGACGCCTGCTTTTTATCTCCAGAAACGGCTCGAGTAGCCTCTTACTCCTAATCAGGACTGCCTAAGGAAGAGTATGTGGATGGTAATCTCTGGGTTTTCACCCAACCCAAGCCTTTGCTGAAGCCTTCGCGGATGATTCGTCTTGGGCCTCACCTTACTACCCGAAACGGTAAGAGGTTCCCGGCCCGTTCTGCGGCCACGTCCCACGTGATGTTATAACGCTGCGATGCAAATATGTCGTGCATATTTGCGATATCTCGAGACATTTTTGGCTCCGTTCCGTGCCCGCTTGTGGTCTCGGCCGTAGCCGTGAGGCCCTCCACGTGAGGGTTCGTTGATGCAATGCAGCTGTGTCATGCATTCTTTTTTATTTCTGGTTTTTGTGCCTTTCTCGAAATTGCTGGTTATCAAGACCCAAATTATTGGCCAGCCAAGATTGAAATCTTAGACTTGAGCATATATGTACTTCGGGGGTTTTTTTTTTTTTTTTTTTTTGGCGGTGGGTATTTGTTCGTCGACCAAGACACGACTAGTTGCCAGAGATGAGGTCAGAGCTCCCCGTTCGCCTACACCCACCGGCTCGCGGGCCGAGCGACCCCGCTAGGAATTCATGTTTGCTTCTCACTGTCAAAGCTGCAGCCTTCCCGCCCGACACTCTCATAAATGACATCGATGTACTGCTTATCTGCACTCATTTGAAACAGAATGACTTACGTAATGTAGACAGACATTAGATATGGCACCGCGTGCGAGTTCAGTTTGTAAAGGGAAGTGAGCACGTCTACTAGCGAATATTCGATGAGATGTCATCTTCAATTTACCAATGTGCAGGGCCGAAGTACAGTTGTCACGTAGTTATCAATGGCTTTGAATTACGGAAGCCTACATCTCCTTGGATGCCCTCATCATCCATCGACGAGTTCAAGAACTGAGCGAGAATCATAGAGGCTTCTCTGCTGGCACTTCAGACCTCCAAATGAATGCACTTTTATTCTTCCACAAACGGATGCAGCTCTGGGGAGCAAGATCTACCCAACTAAGTCTTTGCTCCACTCTAGTCGTTGAACTTTTAGGTCGACTGGTACATGCGCTAGTCGCTGGGCGAAGCTACCGAAAAGTTGGATTATCAGCATGTAAGTGAGAGACCATTTAAAACCGACCTTGGCTTCCCACGCCTACAACTGTGACCTACGCCACAGTCCGTACCTGCATCAATGGGGAAAGACCTCAATAGAAAAACGCTGATAACTGTCGGTGCCTTTCCCACCAGAACGTAACCTCTTAAGAGTGCGAATACCAAACTCCTCCTGCTCGGGAATGTCCAATTATAACCCCTGTCAACCTGGCGCGACCCAGTTGACGTGTTACAGCTTCCTAGTTTAGGTACCAAGTAACAGCTCCGGCTTCCTTGTTCTAGGCGATTTTAGGGGCACATTCGTTGGACACCTACCTACCTCACTTCGGCCGCCGTGCATTAGCGTCCGCCCAGCCTAGGCTTAAAGCCTGGCACTCGGAAAGCACATGTTACGGTCGCTACAACAACTTGTATAACGAGGGCTGCAGCGTTTCGCGGGTGCTCCAAGCTTCCCATTGCAATGAGGCGCTGATTTCACTCTCCTCTCTTTTTGAACCCATTGACGCCTAAGGACGACGAGGCACACAACTGGCTTCCACCTTCGGAAGCTCTCGACGACACACCCCGATAACGACGCAGGCGGCGATACCATCACCATGCGCCGTCGCCAGTGGACGGTGGTGGGCCTCATCGCCTTCCTGGCGATCTGTGCATACACGATATTCAGACTGCCGCCCGAAAAGCGACCGATGGCCGTCATTCCAGGCTCCGTGAAGCCGCCTCCACCCCCGCAAGACCCCCCGAAACCGGCCGGCGACGATGCTGCCAACGGCAGCGGCCCTGCTCCCGACAGACGACCGAAACCCGCCTCCGGCACCGGCTCGCACCCCATGTGGCACCTCATGACGGGCGCCGAGAAGGAGTTCCAAGATACACTGAAGCGCCAGTCCAAGACGCTCGAGGACGCCGTCAAGGAGTATAGGAGGCGCTATGGCATCCCGCCCCCGCCGCACTTCGACAAATGGTTCGAGTTCGCAAAGGCGAACGGCGTGCAGCTCGTCGACGAGTTCGACATGATAAACGAGATGCTCACGCCCTTCTGGGGCCTGAAGCCGGCGACGATACGGGAGCGCGCCAGAGAGGCGCTGGGCTTCGACAACAACCTGATCGGTCTCCTGATCCGGGACCAAAAGATATCTCACATCCAGGGCGGACAGGACTGGCAGCGCGACGCCACTTCGGGCATGATTGAGAAGTTCATCAAGTACCTGCCCAGCATGGACCTCGCCTTCAACATCCATGACGAGCCGCGCGTCGTTGTCCCCCACGAGGACCTCGCCCGCCTCGTCAGCCGCGCCAAGAACGTCAACATGCCCAAGGCAAACGCGGCCGTGAACCCCGAGAACGCCTTTACGAAGCGCGCGGGCGATCTGAGCGAGGGAAACATCATCGTTGAGTATAAACAGACCCGCTTCAACGTCTTCGCCCATCAGGCGACCTGGACGCACTCCCGCATGTCCTGCCCACCCGATACCCCCGCCCGCGGCATCGACGAGGACGAGCTCTCGGACGACCAGAGCAAGTACGGCATCAGCGAGCTGGGGTTCGTCTATAACATCACAGCCATGTCCGACATCTGCCTCTCGCCCTCTCTCAGTTCGACCTACGGCTTCTTCGACCGCCCCAACGCATACAACATCGTCCACGATCTCTTCCCCATCTTCTCGCAGTCCAAGATCTCGTCATACAACGACATCCTCTACCCCTCACCCTGGTACTGGTACAAGAAGGTCGCCTACGACGAGTCCAAGGACATGTCCTGGGAGCAGAAGCAGGACCGCCTCTACTGGCGCGGCTCCACGACGGGCGGCTTCTCGCGCAACGGTGGCTGGCGCCGTCAGCACCGCCAGCACTTTGTGCAAAAGATCAACGCTGCCGACCAGGCCAAGATATACACCAATCGCGGCGACGAGAAGAACCCCAAGTGGGAAGTGAAGGAGGTGCCCCGCGGCGACTACCGCGATATCATCGACGTCTACTTCTCGCACATCGGGCAGTGTGACCCGGGCGACTGCGACGCGCAGAAGGAGTTTTTCAAGGTCCAGGGCCATGCCGAGCAGCAGGACGCCTGGAAGTACAAGTACCTCCTCGACATGGACGGTAACGCCTTCTCGGGCCGCTTCTACGCCTTCCTACAGTCGCGCTCTCTCGTCTTCAAGTTCGCCATCTTCCGCGAGTGGCACTTTGAGTGGCTACGCCCCTGGGCGCATTACGTGCCCCTGAGCCTGCAGGGCGACGACTGGCTCGAGGCCGTGCGCTTCTTCGGCGACGGCGCGCTGGGCCGCAACGAGGCGGAGCGCATGGCTATCAGCAGCCGCGAGTGGGCGAACAAGGTGCTCCGTAAGGAGGACATGGAGGTGTGGTTCTTCCGCCTCCTCTTGGAGTGAGTAGCCTCCGCTAGCTATCTTTGTCAACATCGGATCGCAGTACTGACCCTACCCCCGCAGATACGGCCGCGTTATCGACGACAAGAGAGACACCATTGGCTTCTCCGTCGGAGCCGCGCCGCAACCGCCGGCGTGAAACCCCCCCAAGGGGGGTCGGGGGCGACTCCACGTCAGACGAGTCTCCCCAATCTCCGCGGTGGTTTCGAATGTGATAATGAGACATTTGTATATCTGTATATCTGTTCCAAAAATGAACAAGAAAAAAAGAGGAAGAGAGTGAGAGAAAAAAGGGAGTCATCCTTTCTGTTACACTGTATGAAGCGGGACCGGGCGGGCTCAAGGTATGCAGGGACCGCGTCGTCTGTTTCTTTGGAGGGGGGAAAAAAGTATTTCGTACATCTCGCGGAAGGGATGAAATCTGGGCAACCATTCTCAGGGTATGTCTGTTACGAGAGGGGGAATTGTATGATGCGGGCGGAGAAGACTCGATGGGTTGGTTGGTGGAAAAAGGAACCGCCACTGGGTCTCTTTGGGCTGACTATATAGAAGCTGTATACACCTAATTGATATCATGAACTGATCTACCGACTCCCGGAGAGGTTGTCGTGAATCCTTAATCCAAATGTACGTCTAAACCCTTCGACGGGGCTCGTACCCCCCCCCCCCCCTCCCTTCAGCATCACATCTTCTTTCGCGCGGATGAGAAGCACGCGATCCTCAGTCATTCGACTGCAAAGGTGTCTCGCACTCTTCACGCTGCGTGTCACGTCGGTCCTCGTCGAATCGTGTTACGGCACAAACCAAGCAGCATGTTTCGTCCGTGTGATTTCTGTCTAGTTGTTCACCACCAAAGGCCGTTTCTCTATCACACCCAAACGCCAGATGGTTTACAGGGGGCGGCTGATTGTGCAAAACCCCATTGATACGTGTTGAAATTGCTTTCGATGCTGTCATGACCTTCCGCCTTTCTCCAGCAACGTGCTATGTCATGTGATGGACTTCACATCTCCTTGCTTCCTTTCCACCCTCCTAGTCCTCATCCTCATCTCCATCGGCATCGCCATCGGCATCGCGGTCCGAGGGCGTTCCAGGAGCAGCGCCCTCGCCAGCGCCCTCGGCAGAAGGGAAGGGGTCCTGAGCCTCCTCTACATAGCCGATCGGCTTCTCCTTGTACCGCCTCATGTTTTCGCGAGGCGCTCCCTTGGGGTCAGTGACGGTCACTTCAACCTCGTTGACAACCTGCGTTTCATCATCCATATGGCTTAGCGTGCGGGCAATGTTCTTGGCACGCTGGGGACGAATGGTGGTACGCTGGATGACCGGGTAGTAGTAGGCGGCCTTCTGCTTGCTGCCTGAGGGCTCGTCATTGAACGCGAGGATGACTTCCTCGCTGTATTTGGAGTTGTGGTCCAGCTCCGTCTCCTTGGTCGTTTCATACGCACGGAGACGGGAGAACTGGAAGCAGGCGTTGGAGCCACTCTGGTATGTGTAGAGCGAATCGTCGTCGTGATTGGGGTTCTCCGGGTCGAACTTTGCCCGGAAGTTGTCACCCGTGGTCTGGGTCTTGGGGAGGAAGAAGCTGTAGTCCATCAGATTGGCAGGCTTGGGATTGCGAGCAGGGTCGCGCTCGTGAGCCTCGAGGGCAGCTTGGAAAGCCTCATTCTCCTCCGGGCTCCGGTCTAGAGGACGCAGCAGACCGCTGAGCAGGCGGCGGTCGTACTTGTTGGCGCTGGCCACGGGGTTCGTGAGGAGCTTGACGGTGACGTACGCGCCCGAGTCGGGGAACGCGTCGTGATCGGGCAGCAGAGGGTACGAGGAGGTGAGATGGACGTGGGGCTTGCTGGGATGGCGGTGGCGGCTTGGGTTGCTGAGGAAGCGCTCGGCGCTCTCGAAACTCTTCTCGATCTTGCGCCTGATGGCTGCCGGAGAGTCTTTGTCCGGCTCGGGAGAGCGGCGCTTCTCCGCGCGCTTGATCTTGGGGTTGATGAAAGCCCCCGTAGCGACCGCTTTCCTGGGGGCCACAGAAGAGATGTATTCGGTTCTTCGCAAGAACGAGACTGATGCGTCGGCGTTGCTCTTGGCTCGGCCCAGAGTAGAAAGCGGCCTGAGAAGGGCTCTGTCGTGGGGATGAACGGCAGGTGGATGCGAAGATGCCTGGATAGCTGGCAGGAGGTTAGTCCCTGGCTCTTGAACAGGATGCGGCCGCGCTTACAGCTCTCGTCCCCATCAAAGATGCCTGGCATGCCCACCAGGTCCAAGGGCATGCCGAGTTCCGCATCAACCTCAATATTCAGCGGCTGCTCTCTCGCCAGACGCGACGCAAACCCGGGTGTTGTGTACTGGCCGCTAGCCAGGCCAGTGTTCGGGATGTCGAGCAGCTTGGGCGGGTTGGGAGGAGGCGGGAGGGCGTTGGAGTAGCGGATCCTGGCAATGAAATCCTGATGGATCATGCGCTCGCCGCCGCGAGGCGCCGAGGATGACATCGTGTATGTTTAATTTGATGGCAGGGCGCCGCAATCGCACGATTCGTGAGTCGGCTAGGAGGAGGACGGGGTGGTTTCGTCAATTGAGGGCGGAGAGTCGTGGTCGCGGTCGCGTTGGCAAGGAGGGTGCAACTGCCCAGAAAAGTTCCACGAGGCTGACCTTCGGGGGTGGTTGCGCCCGCGCCCGGACTGTTACATAAGCAGCCCACTGGCTGCTAGCTACATAAAGCAGCGACACCACACAAGATATAGATAGACAGACAATCAACTACATACACACCACACTATACTATAACAGTTAGTAGCACAACTGGAAAAAAGATCTAGGCCTACTAGAGTTTTTTAACTTACTAATTAAAGGCAAGTAAAAAAACTAAAATCTAGGTAAATAACCTACTATATACCCCTTTTCCCTACCTTGCTAGCTTAATTAACTTAACGTTATTAACCTAATACCTCTGCCTAATGACCCCTTTAACTACTACCCTTTAACCTCTATTACCCTAACTACTGCCTATACCCCTATTAAACTTTATTAAACACTTTTAGCTAATTAAACCCCTGTTATCTATATTAATTAATAACTTATAGTATTAAATAGCTAAGTTTCTCTATTTTATAGAAACTATAAACCTATCTATTATTATAGAAGATAATAAGGCTATAGCTTAGTAGCTACTAAAAGTAATTCTAAAAAACCTTAATTAACCTACTTACTTTAATACTAACTATTTAGTTAAGTAGTTAAGTATAGTAAAAGCCTTCTTATACTTCCTATAGTAGTAGTAATAAGCTTTAACTACCTACCTTTAAAGTAATAGTAGTAATAACGCTAGTACTCCTCTAGCTTTTACTAAGCTAGTAGTAAAACTACTATTAACTAACTAACTATCTATAGTTACTATAGGCATTAGTAAACTTAACTTCTCTAGGTTACTAACGCTATATACCTTAGAAGACCTAACTACTATAGATAGTAAAGTATATATAGGTTTTATTAACTTTAATAAAAAGTATTAGAAGGCTATTTTTACTTTATTTTAGTTATTTATTATATTAACTATTAACACTTAATAATATACCCCTAAAGTTAAGTAACTCTAAGCTACCTAAGCCTTTTTTTTATAAGTAGTAAAAAAGACACTAGAGTTATTTACTATAGTAGACTAACTACTTTTAGTAAAAGTAGTAGTTACTATACTAAATATAGCTATAGCTAATACTTATAGAGATATTAATAAAGATCTTATAAACTAAAGATAGTCTATTACTACTAATATAGTAGTACTAATTACTAACGCCTTTAAATAGTTATTTACTATATTACTAAGAGTAGCTATATTATCTTACTTAGCTCTTAACTATATTAGATTTTTTAATCTAGAAGCTAAAGACCTTGCTTAACTAAGAATAGTTACTAATAGTAAGCTAACTATATACACTAATATATATACCTTTATAGATAGACTAAAGGACCTAGCTACTACTAGGATAAATAACTAAGTTTATAATATATAGACTATATACTTATAAAGTATAGCTTTAGTTTAGTATACCTAGATTATTATAGATATAGACTAAAAGCTACTATATACTACTATAATAAACACTATTTATACTAAGTTAATTAAACGCTTTTAACCTTATTATAGTAAAGCTATAAAATAATAAAAGATAGCCTTATATAGTATATATAATGTCTAATAATATAAGGATATTCTATTATATACTTAAATAATAATATATAATACTAAGGCTTATAGTATTATAAATATATATAGTTAACTAAGAGCTATCTATAAGTTATTTAATAAAGCTATTAAAACTATTATTTTACTACTAAATAAGATAACTACACTAGATAGCTTTTTATAAGAAGTTAAAGACTATAAATCTACTATAACTATGCTAGCTAATAAATATATAGTATATTAGAACTAGATAACTTTAGGTAAAACATAAGTAGCCCTTATAAGATATTTTTTATAGCTATTTACGTTATCCTAGAATCTAAGACTAACTAACTAATATAATTAGTATACTACCTCTAGTAACTATAATAGTAATTACTATAATAGTAATAAATATAATAATTAAAAGTAACCTCCTAACTATAGCCTATAACTATTATAACTACTAATAAAATTCTAACTATAATAAAGTTAGCCTAATTAATTTACTAAGTTTTTTAACTTATACTAATTTAATAAAGGATAACTATAAAGGTAAAATTAAAATTAGAATTAAAATTAGGGATATTATAATAGTAGTTACTATAATAACTAATAGTAGCCTAACTTAGTGCCTTTAGTACTTAATAACTAAAGGCTAAAATAAAATAAATAATAGTAACTACCTACTAATATACCTAGATAGCTATATATAATAGCTTACTATAAAGATAAAGTATAAGCTAAAGAACCTAGACTATAATATAAATTACCCTCTGTTATAAATAAGGAGGATAAACCTAATGCTATAGCCTATAAAGGCTATAATTAAAAAGTCTATAATAAAGTAAATAATAACTAGGTTAAACTAAGTAACCTCTACACTTTTACTAATACTACTAAAGGTAGTAACACCTAGTTTATAGCTATATTTACCCCTTATTAAGTATATTTATTAACAAAATAAATATATTATAAGTGCTATAAAAGCTTTCTAAGTAATAATTAACTTTATAAGTATATATATTAATAGTATTTACCTTAATAAAGTAAAGAAGACTTTTATACTTTTTATAGTAACTTAAGTTCTATATTAGTATAGCTATTAACTTTAACTATAACTATTTTACCTCTAGTAATAGTTAAGTCTAGTGTAAATATATTTATATAGATTAGTATAAGCTTTAAATTCTACTTATAGTCTTACCTATACTACTAGATTATACTTAACCTATAATAATATAATATTTAACTAGACATTTATACTAATATAAGATATTTAACCTTATTAGTTAATAGAAAATTTCTCTTTACTTACTACTTTATACTATAAATATATATACACTTAGTTCCTTTTAATATCTAAGGCATAGGTAATAATATATATACTACTTAAGACTATATAGTTATAGACCTTTACTTCTAAGGCTACTAACTAACTAATAGCTAGCTAGTAATAGTAATATTTACTAAAGAGATAGCTATAGTAGACAGTCTAGTAGTAAATATACTTATTAGTATAGACTACTTAGGCCTTAAATAATTTAATATTTATAATAGTAGAGGGTACACTATTATTACCTTATATAATATAAAGATACCTATAGTAGTATAGTATAATAATATAAGATATTAAGCTAAAGTTATAGCTTAATAGTAGGTAACTATACTACCTTACTTTATAACTAATATCTAAGTCTAGTACACTATATAGAATATACACTAAGACTTACTCTTTAAACTTACTAATCTTCTAGTAGCTATATATACGCTATTAGCTAACACTAGTCTATAGTATATTACTATATTTAACTATATAAATAAACTATAGACTATTTAATAACGCTAACTTCTTAGTTACTTAGTCTTTATTAACTTATTAGCATAAGTATAGCTAGTTAATAGCTAGTAACACCTAGACACTATAAAGCTTACTTTAAAGAAACTATTATAACTAGAAGGTTAACTTATCTAGGCTATACTAATTAATAACTAAAAATAGGTCTTAACTATTACCTATACTACTAGCGTTAAGATCTATAATTACTAACCTAACATAGATAGATTATTATAGCTATTAGATTACTATACTTATATTTTTTATAGTAATAGTTTTACTAATATTCTATAAGACTAATAAATATAAGTACACTTTAAACCTAACTAGCATAAGCTACTACCCTAATAATATAAGATTTACCTTATTAGTCTAAAAAAAAAAGAAGTTATTAAATATACTCTTAATAAACTTAGTAATAAACTTTATTATACTAAATATTAAGTGCTAGCTATATACTTAGTTTTTATAGTCTAGAGATAGCTAATAGATATATAGTATAAGAAGAAGTCTTAATAAATAAAAAAACTATAGTAAATAACTATAATAGTAAAAAAAAATAACTAAGATAATAATAATAAAAAGAAAAAACAAATAGTTATTAATATTTAACTACTAAATATAGCTATTATTACTAATATATACCTTATAAAGACCTAGAAAGACATTATTAGTAAGTATACTAATATAATATATATCTCTACCTTTAATATAATAGTATTTTACTACTAATAGTAAGTATACTTTAGCTTATAATAGGCTTTTATTATTATTATCTACAAGAGATAATTTACTTTTTAATATCTAGTTATAGGATTTAAGAACTATAATTCCTATATTTAATAATAAATAAATATTATACTTAAGGATACTATAGTAGACTTATACTATAATAATATAGTTATAGCTATAAAAAAAGGTATTAACTAATATATTATAGACCTTAAGGAAGTATTTAAGGCACTATTAAAGGCTAATATTATACTAAGGCCTAATAAGTCTAATATTAGATTCCTTACTATAGTTATCTTTAGTAAATTAGTTAACTTCTTTAGACTTACTACACTAAATAATAAGCTAAAAGCTATTAAGGCTATTAAGTTCTTAAAGACTTTAAAGGTATTAGAACACTTCCTTAGTCTTAGTAGCTTATTATACTACTATATCCTATAATATACTACTATTACCTAACTACTAGAAGAGTATAAAGTACTCCTAATTTATACTTATTAGAAGTAGAATAAAGATAATAAGCCTACACCTAGTAAAATACCTAAGGGAGCCTATAATATATAAGTAAAATTAGTAAACGTACTACTACTAATAGTAAAGGAAATTAATGCCTTTAAGTAGCTAAAGATAGTAATAACTACTTCTATAATACTTATTTTCTTTAACACTAAATAATAACTTTTCCTTAAATTTAATATATTAGTAAATAGTATTAGTATATAGGTCTTTTATATTAAGGACACTGTCCTTACTAAATAGGACTAAAAGTAATACCTACTATATAACACTATTTAGCCTATTACCTTTCTATTATATACCCTTAGTAATACTAAAAAATACTACTAGTTAATAAAGCTTAAAGTTATAGGCTAT